CCCAATTCTTGTCATATATCCTTATTGTCAAAGTTGATTTAAATAGGCCAATTTTTAATTTCTTAGGTATTGACTATCTCTACATAATGAAATAGGACTCAAAGTAAAAGTAACAGTTAAATTAAAACTTGAATTAATTAAAACTGTCAATAACATGAATCAGTTTCATCAGTCATTTATTCATAATTCTAAACAATGTGAACGATGCATTCTTTCGAAGAAAATTATTTTCCATCTAGTTTGATTAACCACGAGTCATTATTTCTGTCTACTTTCAACAATTTTTAATTGTAGTTGACGAAATGAGAGTCTCCACTCAGTGTGTTAAAACATAATTCTTTGTCGACGTTTCGGCTACATGCCTTTGTCATAAACAGGACGTACTGAAAACTTACATAGCTGCAAAGATACAATGTTAAAATAATCTATTAAAATAATCTATTAATACTACGAAATATAACAACAACAAATAACATTTTGAAACACAACAACAATCACAAATTTATCCAAAAGAAACATAAAATATAACGGCTAAAAGAATCCAAACCGCAACAAGCCGTGAACAATTCTTCATAATACTACAAACATTTTACCAAGATAGCTCCTTCATAAAACTGATTAATCAAAAATTATCTAGGTTTATAAGTTCAATATTACATTAGCTTCCAAGTATATTTTATCCAATCACCTTCATTTACGGACTCAGACAATTGAGTATTTATTTCTGGGTTTTCACGTTTTATTAGAACCGACTGCCACAATTGACGGTCCACATAGTCTTTACATCTTTTTCGAACTATAAACCGAAACGGTATGTTTGGCATTGAAATGTCTGCATGCTCCTCTAGGTAGTGCTTCCCCATGGCCGTAGATTTGTTGCCATCCCTTACTGATTTGTAGTGTTCCCAGGCTCTACTTCTTTTAAACCTACCAGTTTCCCCAATGTAGGACTTATTACATATTTGGCATATTAATTGGTAGCAAATGTTTTTGATCATGCAGGATTTATCGCACTGGTAGCATTTGCTGTCACTTTGTTTATTGCATTTTGTTTGCTGTAGGCTAGATCTTGTTAAAGCTTCCATGAGACGTTGACCTGATGTGAATGTTACCCTGGTGGAATCCAAGAGGTTTTGATTTCTTAGGGTATAGTAGACTTTTCGACACGTCTGTTCATTTATATAAGGTAATGATAAGTAAGCTATTTTTGAGTTCTTTTTAGGCGCATTTTGTTTATCCAGTGTATTCTGTGTTTCTCGAATAAGTTTCTTGACAATATTAGGAGGGAAACTATTCTTCTTTAGCATATCAGCTATTCTGTTGATACTGAGATCTTGTAGTTCAGGTGTGGAGCTGTTATTGATAGCCCTTCTGATCTCATTTTTGGCTGAGTTCAGAATCGTTCTACGAGGGTGAGCAGAGGCACCCTCGTAGAACGATTCTGAACTCAGCCAAAAATGAGATCAGAAGGGCTATCAATAACAGCTCCACACCTGAACTACAAGATCTCAGTATCAACAGAATAGCTGATATGCTAAAGAAGAATAGTTTCCCTCCTAATATTGTCAAGAAACTTATTCGAGAAACACAGAATACACTGGATAAACAAAATGCGCCTAAAAAGAACTCAAAAATAGCTTACTTATCATTACCTTATATAAATGAACAGACGTGTCGAAAAGTCTACTATACCCTAAGAAATCAAAACCTCTTGGATTCCACCAGGGTAACATTCACATCAGGTCAACGTCTCATGGAAGCTTTAACAAGATCTAGCCTACAGCAAACAAAATGCAATAAACAAAGTGACAGCAAATGCTACCAGTGCGATAAATCCTGCATGATCAAAAACATTTGCTACCAATTAATATGCCAAATATGTAATAAGTCCTACATTGGGGAAACTGGTAGGTTTAAAAGAAGTAGAGCCTGGGAACACTACAAATCAGTAAGGGATGGCAACAAATCTACGGCCATGGGGAAGCACTACCTAGAGGAGCATGCAGACATTTCAATGCCAAACATACCGTTTCGGTTTATAGTTCGAAAAAGATGTAAAGACTATGTGGACCGTCAATTGTGGCAGTCGGTTCTAATAAAACGTGAAAACCCAGAAATAAATACTCAATTGTCTGAGTCCGTAAATGAAGGTGATTGGATAAAATATACTTGGAAGCTAATGTAATATTGAACTTATAAACCTAGATAATTTTTGATTAATCAGTTTTATGAAGGAGCTATCTTGGTAAAATGTTTGTAGTATTATGAAGAATTGTTCACGGCTTGTTGCGGTTTGGATTCTTTTAGCCGTTATATTTTATGTTTCTTTTGGATAAATTTGTGATTGTTGTTGTGTTTCAAAATGTTATTTGTTGTTGTTATATTTCGTAGTATTAATAGATTATTTTAATAGATTATTTTAACATTGTATCTTTGCAGCTATGTAAGTTTTCAGTACGTCCTGTTTATGACAAAGGCATGTAGCCGAAACGTCGACAAAGAATTATGTTTTAACACACTGAGTGGAGACTCTCATTTCGTCAACTACAATTAAAAATAAATGATTGACCCACTCATAAGAGCAAAACAAGATTACTTTCAACAATTATTGATAATTCGACTTGTTTCACAAGTTTTAGCAATGCGAAAATTTCTAAACTTGCTTATCACAGTGCTGGCAAGCACGACCGTTGCATTTATTGTGGGTATACTATGTTCCCCATTTACTATTATACCCCCTTAACTATTATACCCCCTTTACTATTATACCCCCTTTGGTACACGTTACAAGCCTCTTTTGTGCACGCGAAGCGTGCACTCCGGCCGGAGGCGGCGGCCGAAGGCCGCCGCCTCCGGCAGGAGTTTTCCAGGCATTAAGACTCATCGGAAGTCGTTAAGCAGAATTATTTTTAGTTCAAAACATTCTAATTTGATGTCAAAGATGACAGGAATAAAAAATAGTTATGTTGAGATTTTTAAGAAATTTGCATAAAATACTCGCCAGCACTGTTATACGAAATTCGGTAAAAAACCCAAAATCGCCATATTCAGGTGCCTTAAAAACCATGTTAAAATTGAGTTAGAGATCTGAAATTTTTCAGGGCGTCTAGACGTTGATCAAATCGACTGCAAAAAAAGTTTCAGGTTTCAGGAGTATCGGGAAATGGGTTTTCTAGAACCCCTGTTTTACGACAGATTGTCGTGATATATATATATATATACATATTCAGGGATAGACGCTTTGCCAGTCAATTGTAGCCTGTATTTAATTGTCCATAGATTCAAAAGTATAAAAGATAAAGCCATTTCCGACCACAGGTCTTGCAAATAATTGTTTACACTCTAGTTTACATTGTATAAAAAAATTATTTGACGTCATAAACACCCCTTGATGACGTCATCAAGTTAACCGTTTTTAAAACTTGATTTTTGACAAAGTAATAACTTTTAAAATTAATTTTAAACCATTAAGGAGTAATTTTATTCAAAATCTGAGGAAATTTTTATCTTAGATAATTGTTCAAGCATTCTGAAAATCTACCGGAAAGTTTTTCTAGCTTGCTCCTTCATAAAGATATTCGTCATTGAAGTTTGTGCTTTTTTGAAGAATTATTTTATAAAAACGTCAATTTTGCGATTTAGTATTCTCTGGTGTTGGGCCATGCCTTGAGTTGAGGAGCTCAGTTCTGCTTCCTATAGGTATAAATTGTGCATTAGGCTAGTTTTGAAGTTGAAAATCGAAAAGTTGCACACGTGGGGACACGCCCAAATTGATAGAAAATTGCTAAAATCACTGAAAATTGCTGTTTTCGTCATTTTCTGTCAACTTTAGAGTGCCGTTGTGATTACAGTTCTTCTTGAAATACTTTGAAACTTTGCATGCTTATCAAGCTATATATAAAACAATTACATGAAAAAATTTACGGCGATTCAATATTGGATGCGCACGCAACGTCCGCTCAAAGTTTGCACGTGCGAAAGGTGAGAATTTTGCTCATTCGTGATTTCCAACAAATTCTGCTTTGCCACGACAGTTTAATGTCATTATATATGAATTTAATGCCAACTTGAATGAGTATTAGGTGGCATATTCAGTCAGTGATCGACCGATATGCTTACCTAAACACAAGGAAATGTTTTTAAAGGAAAATTTCGAAATCGTTGAAACTTCCTCCTTATTAATTAATGAAAATATCAGTTTATATTTCGACTTTATAAAGTACCCTGACATTATAATCAAAAAGAGATGATATTTTACCAAAACCCATATTCATGGGTAGAGTGGACCGCTGCCAGTGTCTCTCTTTCCCAAACAAAAGGAAATGATATTAATTTGATTGACCGTTCTCAAATGCAAAATGATACCGAGAATGAAATCGGTCGCTCGCTTTTCCCATTCATTTACAATTGTAATAGATTAAGAAGATCTACCCAAAGGCAGCTGTACTCGGCAATAAAGATTCAATAAACTTCAGCTAATTCAATAAGCAATAACTACTACCCTTACCCCGAAATACTAGGTATCGATCCGAACGCAACCCAAAGAGATTTTTACAGCATCTGACTGATGTAATCAATCGAAATTTATTACAATTCGTAAGCCGTGAATGAATGGAAAAAGCGAGCGACCGATTTCATTCTCGGTATCATTTTGCATTTGAGAACGGTCAATCAAATTAATATCATTTCCTTTTGTTTGGGAAAGAGAGACACTGGCAGCGGTCCACTCTACCCATGAATATGGGTTTTGGTAAAATCTCTAATAAGGAAATTTACATCTGAGACAAAATTTTTGAATCTAAAATTGAAAGGTTGGACACCGGTAAAATGGCGACCGGGAAAATGTGGTGGGTTTTGAACAATTTCGCCATATTTTTCCCGAACCATATTTTAACCGGTCGTTAATAAAACCGTCGTAATAATCCCGAGTAAGGTAGCAATAATGTAATTTGACTCGGTAATATAAGAGGTTCGGCAAAACGGTAGCACAGAGAAAATATTTACGGGCCGCTCCAAACATCGGAGATGCATACTTCTTGGCTTCCGCCTTCCTGCCAATTTTATTACATTAAATATTATCCGCATTACATTTACCTGCTTCCTGCTTTCCTTGTAAATACAAATAGCCGAAACACAAACGACTTGTAAACAAGACTTATATATAAACCTGAAGACTAATATTTTTACTAATATTTTCATCGAATGATCAGTTAACTTCCTAGATATGAGATTTGTAGATCTTCTTCATTACATACATGTTACATGTTACATGGTAAGGTCTCCTCCTAGTCGTTGGAGTGGCCTGCATCACACACATCGCGTTGGCGGCGTAACATATGTCTCCACTGTACTCGGTTGGTAGCCAAAGCTTCTGTTGTGTCGTTGTCGATGTTTTCAACACCTGTAAACTTAGCAGCATCTTCGAGTACGCAGGACTTCCAGTTCTTACGGGGTCTGCCCCTTGACCTCTTTCCATAATTTGGCTTCCAGTTCAACAGAAACCTCGGTAGTCTAGAGTCTGGCATTCTAACTACATGTCCATACCAACGTAGCCTGGCAGCACTGATGAAAGTCTCAACTGACTTGATGCCAGCCCTCCTAAGAACTTCGTCGTTGGTCACATGAAAGAACCACTTAATCCTAAGTATCCTTCTCAAGGAGGTTTGATGGAAAACCTCGAAGCGTTTCATCTGCTTTTTGGTGGTGTTCCAGACTTCAGCTCCATACAACAAGATGGTGAGAACAGCAGCCCTATAGATCCTGATCTTGGTTGGAGTCTTTATAGTTCTGCTATTCCAAATGTTCCAGAGCTGATGAAAGGCGCCATTAGCCTTCTGGATACGGACATCCAGGTCTCTGTTGATTGTCCCATCCCCACTGATAGTTGCACCCAGGTAGACAAAGTTGCTAACCTGCTCGACGGGTTCACCCTCAACCGACAGCTCAATACAATCATCCTTGATGAAAGGTCGCTGGGTGGCGCACTTGCTTACAGCCATGCATTGGGTCTTCTTTGCATTTATTCTGAGCCCAGCGTAGGAGCTGTAATGAACTAATAGATCAGTTGATTCCTGTAGGCCTTCCCCTGAGTTGTCCATAATAGCCATGTCATCAGCATAATCGGTGTCCAGAATGACCTTTTCCTCGACCGTCTTCATCTTTTTCTGCAGCACTGCGCCTTGACTGATGATCTTGTTGGTCTCAGCCAGAAATGCAGAAAAGTCTAGGCAGAAATTAAAGACAGGAGGTGCTTGAATGTCACCCTGACCTGTGCCTGAATTAACATCAAACCAGTCTGTCAGCTCCCCATTAACCCTCACGGCACTCATGGTACCCCCAAAAAATGACTGAAATATTCTGACATATTTTTCAGGCAGCCCATAGTGTCTCATACTGCACCAAATAAAGTCCCTTCTGATAGAATCGAACGCTGCCTTGAAATCCACAAAATTAATGTAAAGAGGAATGTTAAACTCAAGACAGTTATGAATAATAGTTCGGAGAGAATAAATCTGATCAATGCATGAGCGGTTCTGTCTAAATCCGCACTGATTCTCCCTGAGGAGACACTCCATACCAGCATGTAACCGCTTAATTAGAAGAATCATCTGAAAAAGCTTGGATGCTGTAGACCTTAAGGTGATCCCTCTGTTGTTCCCGCAGACTGAAGTGTCTCCTTTCTTCCCAATAACAATGATCACACCCTTTAACCAATCTTCAGGAACAGTCTCTTCTTCCCACACTTTCTTGAATAGACACTCTAGTTGATCAACTAGAGCACTCGCACCATACTTCAGTTGCTCGTTAGTTATCCCGTCCACTCCTGGGCTTTTGTTGTTCTTAAGCTTTGTCAGGGAATAACTAATCTCGTCTCTGGTGGGTGGTCCATCCGAACAAGAGAGAGAGTTAAAGTGGGGTTGGGGTGGTACTGTATCAAGGTCGGCAAGGTCGACACTTGATAATGGAGGGTTCAGAAGTTCAGTAAAGTGCTCCTTCCACCTATCCCTCTGCTGTTGGGGATCCGTGATCTTCCTACCGTCCTTGTCCCGGACACAAGATGCTTGAGGCTTCTTGTTCTTACCAGAGATCTTCTTGATCTTTGCCCATACCTCACGCTGCTGACCTTTGCTCGCTGCTTCTTCAAGATCAGTAGCTACTCTAACTGCCCAGTTATTGTCGTCTAGCTTGCTGCTTTTCTTGACTAACTTATTAAGTTTAGAATACTCTGACCTGTTAGCGTCTGAGTTTGGGTCTTTACGCTTAAACTGTGCCCGCTGAATCAATAAATCCTTGGTATTCCGTGACAGGTGTTGCTCCTTTGCCTTCCGGGGTCTTTTGCCTAGTACCTCCAGTGAGACATCAGTGACGGTCTGACTGAGATTACGCCACATATCCTCGAGGTTGACCTCATTATCCAGACTTGCAAATCGGTTTTGAAGAGCCACATTGTACTCTGTAACCGTAGTACTATCCCTCAGGCGCTCAATGGCAGGCACATTGGGCCTGTTGGCGTTGATCTTTGTCACTGACTGAAGTTTGATTTTCAGCAGTCCTAGAACCAGATAATGATCGGAGCCGATGTCTGCCCCGCGACATACCCTAACATCAAAAAGTGACTGACGAAACCGCTTTCCAATGCAGATATGATCTATCTGATTGACGGTGAGCCCGTTGGGGGACCGCCATGTTCCCTTGTGAATGTTCTTGTGCTCGAAGAGAGTTCCCCCGATGACAAGCTGGTTCGTCGCACAGAAATCCACAAGTCTTGTCCCGTTGTCATTTGATGAGCTATGGAGTGATTCCCCACCGATGACCGCTTCACTTCCATATCTGCCTGATGTTACTTTTGCATTAAAATCGCCGAGCAGTAACTTGATATCGTGACGAGGTAGCCCATCAAATGTATCTGTGAGTGTCCTATAAAACTTATCTTTCTCACTCTCCTCTGCACCCTCAGTTGGAGCATAGGCCACAACAACAGAGATGTTGATTTGCTTACTATGCAGCCTAGCAGTTATAACCCGCTCCGATGTGGGAGTGAACGATATCAGGGAGTTTCTGATTCGTTTTGAAAGACTGAGACCGACTCCCTGTCTCTTGATCCCGTCGACTCTACCGGAATGGATGAGTAGACTGCCATTGTCAAGTAGAGTGGTGCCAGATCCAGGCATGTGAGTCTCGGTGATCCCCAAAAGATCCAATCTGTACTGATCAATGTTTTGACTAAGTTGGTAGAGCTGTGTAGATGAGCTGACAAGAAATAGAACGTTCCATGTTCCAAAACGTAAAAACTGTTTGCAATAATTTACTGGATTGGATTTGTTGGAAGCAGGGTCAACATGGATGATCTGTTGACTAATAAATCTGGTCGGATGACGAGTACCCCCTCTTCTCATCAGGCGACTGGGGTCCCGTAGGCTTTGCCCAGCCTCCGTCATGCTGGAACCATCCGTCCTTGAATTGGAAGTAGCACTCCGTCCATTTGATGTGTGTGTTGTTTCAGTAGCGTTGTTATTTGAGGTGGAAGGGATGCTGGCCCTTCGCACCCGATGAACCGCATGCAGTCCTAACGAGACAGATGTCCCGGTTATATTTTTCGACCTGTACTGGTCTAGAGCCGCAGTGTTCTGTTACCGTTCACCTGTTTTAACTGGAATCACCCAGAACAGGCTACTAAGCTTAACAGTGGCACCTCGAGAAGGGTGTGGCTCTTCACCACGCACTACGGATCTTGGGCTCGGAGAGGTTGTGTAAGACACTTCACGAGCCCCTGGAGTTTTGGAAAACCCCTTAACCACTTCTTCATTAATTAACTAATTAATTACTGAGTACTTACTCTCTAGGTTAACCGGCACGCTTGGTTGCTGTATTAATGTATTTTAACGGAGGACATATCAACGCTGGAGGAATGCATTACATTAAATTACATTAAATATTATCCGCATTACATTTACATTTACCGACTTTGTCAGATCTCTAATGGATGACGTCACGTGGTTACCATGGTCACGTGGTTACCATCATGGTCACGTGGTGATCGATTAAAGGCTCTGTTTAACTAAAGTGCAGCAGAGCAGACGAAACTGGATCAATAGTACGATAAAACATTCTGAGGTATCAACAACACAGCACATACTTATAGCCGCCCCAACTACACAATAAATTCTTTTCCCTACCTCCCTCCCTCTCTGAAAACGAGGAAAATTCGCAACAATTCTCCAGGAAACAATATAAGTCGCGATTAGTTGTCGACTTGTCGAATACTATGTTAAACGGTATGCGGTGTACTTACTTGTTACTGCTACGATAACTACAAATGATATTTCTGCAAGAGGACTTGAAGCGACGTTGGTGTCCGGGTAGATAATCTGTTTGACCTGCTAAAACTCTAAAATATGTCTGAATCACGCAACTTCACCGCATGTTGCCCTGGCAACCTTTTATCGCATCAAGAACGGCATCAATTACTAGTTTTGACAGATATTTTTACCGCGTAACCCATCACTGCTACAGCGGGGGCAGTTATTTATAGCGTAAATAAACCTCGAGAGAGATATTTATATCACAATACGGACGGTAGTGAAACTGCTGCTCTATGGCATCTGAAATAAGAGCCTTGCAGTGCCACCACACCTGCAGTTAAAGCTCGTTGCAATGCTACCAATGTACCCTTCACCAGGTTAAGTTGCAAATGCAGATTGCAATGCTACCAATGTACCCTTCACCAGGGAAAGTTGCAAATGCAGATTGCAATGCTACCAATGACAATGTACCCTTCACCAGGTAAAGTTGCAAATGCAGATTGCAGTGCTACAAAATTGTTGAATTTGAAAATTCAAATAGATTTTACATCAATAAATGCTCCATGCCAGTCTATGAAGCTACTTGGATCTTGATATTGAATTGTTATAATTACAAAGGAGCAAACGTTTGCTATACGAGAGCTGGAAACTTTTGTAGTTTTCCAACAGTTTTATCAAATGTAAACTTGTGAACGTGCTAATGTGCTGATGTTCTCAGAGTATTGCAGTTCTCCGATTCCCTCACTTCTATTTTACCGCTGTGTCGGCAAACCTTGCTCAAAGGCACTAAGGCAGCAACATTTGACTACAGCACGTTTTGAACCCCCTTCAAACCTGACTGAAGTCTGCAGATTTAAGTTTATGTTGAAAATTTGGACTGATTCCTCAGTAAACGGCACTTTTATTGTGTCTTCCTTGGTTCAGGAAGATAGGTTACTTGGTGGAGGCTGGGTGTTTAGTTGAAAGGAAAGCCTTCAACCTGTCTGAGAATATTCAGGAAGATAGGTTACTTGAGGGATATATGGGATGGGGGATATATGGAGGAGGTTATCTGGCGTAGATCGGACTTAGTTCCAACATTGTAGTAGTAGTAGTAGTACGTTACTTGAGGTGCACAAACCTTAAGAGCTTATCATGTTATCTGGACAAGTGACTGGCGAGTGGCAAATTGTCCTAGACCCAAAGATGCATATATGATGATTTTATGGATCAAGATAAAAGACTTTTAATTTTAGAGAGTTGATAACATATTCTTGTGTCGAAGTATCTTGACTGCAATTAAAAGTAGCCATCAAAAAATCAGAGGGCCTTTGCTCAAGAAACAAAAAGAAATCATGCAGCTGAACATCTCCGCGAATTAGCGGCGTCAGAAACAATATAAAAAAGAAATTAGACGTGCTGGCTATAACTCGGGCTTTCTGTCGAAGTGAGCTCGGCAGTGCAGCGTGCTTGTGGAGGCTTGTAATTGCTTGCGGAGGAGCCTTGGAGCAGTCGTACAACCAATCAGCTACTGCACGAGGTAGCGATGTGAGCAATGGGGAGGTCTGCTTATCTAAGACACTGTGATGCTTGCTGTTGTCAAGCAGGTCAGAGGAGCACGTGACTAATGTTTGATAATGTGTATTGTGTGAGATGGAGGATGAGAGGAGAGAAGGAGAAGGAGGAGGGACGCGTAAGTTGGAGTGTATAGATGTTTTTAACGTGAGCTGTAATGAATACTTATTGATATTGGGAGAGGTTTGATGGTTATTGATGTGGTTGAACTGGGGTCGGGAACTCATCAGAGCGAAGCAAAAAGAAAGAAAAAATAAAAAAAGAATATGAAAAGAACTATTGATCATCATGTTCAAATATAAAATATATTCAGCATAAAAAGATGACCATATATCTGCAAAAACGTAAAACTTATTTGAAGTTAACTGCGAAAACATCCAATTATCAGAAACATTGCCGAGCTGTTAATTACTGTCGCCTGTCAGTGCTACAAAAGAGAACAGTGCTATCATCATATTATCATGCCACCAGATAAGGAGGATGTACAGTGAGACAAGGTAGAATAACTGCTTTTAATACGATTAGGTGAGTTACTGCTGATAGCCTAATGGCATGCGGTAATTTTTGATAAGAAATAACAATTTTAAACAAAACTTCTCGCAAATATAACAATAGTATCATATCGAAAAACCGACGTAATATATACAAAAAAAGCCTAAAATATGACCAAAATAAAGCATGCAATAATGACCGATAAGAAATAACGACTACAACCTCCATCAAATCGAGAATAGAGCAATGACAAAGTCATGGAATCATTGTACATAATGCGCTAACAGTGTATATATCTAGAGATCTAGACAATTATACGTTCACAAATCTAGAAAAGCAAAGAGCTCCAACTGTTTTAGGACACAAATCACATCTAGGGGAGGGGGTATCTGGATAACATGACGTGTTGTTCCAGGCAACGACGTGATATTTCCAGAAAGCAAATCTCTAGAGTCGTCATCAGGATATGAGCCGTGCCTCTGATCAAGCCTCACAGCTCACACAAAATGCATAGAATCATTTGCTGTAACGGCCTCACAGTCATAGATAATTGGGTCTATTGGCTGCACAGACTGAAATGAAATAAGTCTGAATTTTAGTCTGCCGCCCTGATCCTACGCTTATTGATGCTTAATGAGGTATTATTGCTGCTTAATGAGGGAGTTTCAGCTTAAATGACGCTGTGAGCAGTACCATGAAGTCTTTAAAAATTAATAGTATCAGGGGTGGGGTATGATATTTAGGAAGGACCTTCTGTCGTCTGGTTACAAAAAGTGGCAGAGGGTTGGGTTTCTTGCATTGTACAGGCAGATTTTGTATAAGATTATTCCTGCCTCGCACTAAGGCTACAACATTTTGTTTTTCTAAAATTCAATGTTTTTGGTATGTCTGCAGTAATTCAGATTTATGAGAAGTTGGGAGAGGTATAAAGCTTCACCCCACACTTCACCCCCGGGACCTAACCTTGCACTTTCACTTTCACTTTCACTTTCACTTTCACTTTCACTTTCACTTTCACTTTCACTTTCACTTTCACTTTTTGTGTAAAGCTTCACCCCACACTTCACCCCCGGGACCTAACCTTTATGCTGAACACCTCAGAATGCTAACAATTTGACAGATTACAATTTGACAGCAGATTACTCAAAGTCAAAAACACTTTCACTTTCACTTGATAGCAGATCAATCAGCAGAGACTTTCACAAAGCTATAAATATGAACGTTCAAGGTTTCGTTTACAAGGGTGTATAAACGACTCAATGAATGATCCTGCATTTTGAAGTGCTGGGCAGATCTTGCACATGCGTCATTACCATTACTCCTTCATAAACATGACCATTAGACCAACTTGATACACCCACACACTGACAATTCTGACATAAGGTGCTCGCCCATGAACAACTGACAATTCAAATCATTTAAGCCCTCATACCAGTCACAGCATTATACTTGGCTATATATAACTTATATCCCTCCACTACCACTGGACTACGAACATAATATCCCTCGATATTTCACTTAAATATATTAAATATATAAGTATATAGACATACTTCATTTAAATATATTTAATATATAGACATATTTCACTTAAATATATTACAGACAATAATCAGTTCTAAGCTCGTGATTCCGTCAGCAGACCAGGTGACATGGCCTATTTGTGGCCACTAACATTTAGCATGCCACCTAACATGATTTATCGGGTGATTTATCTGGTTTGTGATGAGTTTGTAGCCAGTAATACTTATTGCTCCTCGCACACATCACCTGTAGTTCATTATCCATAGCATGCAGCCAGTATAATACGGTAATTAGTCACGTACTCTGGCCAGGAGCACTAACTCTGTAATATAAACATTGATAAAGGAGCACTGACTCTGTAATATAAAAACTGATAAGTGGTCATTCGACAAAGAAGACCAAGGAGAACGCCGAGAGACGGAAAACACGATGCTACAACGAGAGAATACTTAATGTAGAGCACGGATCATTCGCTCCATTAATTTATTCAGTAACGGGTGGCATGGGACCTCAAGCCAGGACATTTGAGAAACTGCTTTGCAACAAACTTGCTTATAAGAAGAAGC